CCACTCGAGAATCTGTGGAAAGAACTGAAAACTGCTGTTCACAAATGCTCTTCATCCAACCTCACTGAGCTCGAGCTGTTTTGCAAGGAGGAATGGGCAAAATTTAAGTCTCTTGATGTGCAAAACTGATAGAGACATACCCCAAGCGATTTACAGCTGTAATCGCAGCAAAAGGTGGCGCTACAAAGTATTAACTTAAGGGGGCTGAATAATTTTGCACGCCCAATTTTTCAGTTTTTTATTTGTTAAAAAAGTTTGAAATATCCAATAAATTTCGTTCCACTTCATGATTGTGTCCCACTTGTTGTTGATTCTTCACAAAAAATTACAGATTTATATCTTTATGTTTGAAGCCTGAAATGTGGCAAAAGGTCGCAAAGTTCAAGGGGGCCAAATACTTTCGCAAGGCACTGTATGCTGCATGGGAGCAGCATGTGCAGCAGTCAACAGTCAATGTGCAATTATGGATGTGCAAACTGAGAATGAAAACATTACAGTTCGACAGTACATGATGTATTTCCTGGTAATAAACTCCTCAGCTGGTTAGGAGTCTGATGGCAGAGGGAAATAAAGAGTTTTTCAGTCTGGAGGTCCTGGATTTCACACTTCTGAACCTCCGGCCAGAGGGTAGGGAGGTGGACAGTCCATGCTGGGGTTGGGTGGGGTCTTTGAGGATGGAGGCAGCTTTCCTACGCACCCTGCGGTGGTAAATGCTCTGCAGAGAGGGTAGTGGAGTCCTGGTGATCTTCTCCGCAGTCTTTACCACTCTCTGCAGGTGCTTGTGGTCCATAGCAGTAGTGCTGCCATACCCGACAGTGATGTAGCTGGTCAAGATGTCAGTCAGTTTGCCAGTTCTGGATCAACATATTTGTCTGTGTCAGACCAGTGTTGTTGTTCAAAAACGATTAAAAGCACATCAGTGAAACACACCATTGCACTGGGTAACGTTTCTTCATTAGCAAACCCCAGAACTAAGAGTGAGGAGCTAGCAGAATGTAAACAAAGCAGAGATCTTGCGCAGGATCATGCATATGCACACTACACTTTGACTTGTGCAGCATAGTTGAGTCTGGCGTTTTGTAATGAAAAAATGTGTCATCCAGGGCAGTGGTGTGTTTCACTGATGTGTTTTTAATAATTTTTGAACAACGGAGGTCTGTCTCACAGACAAACAAGCTAAGCCATTTAATCTTGGGTACTTCTAGATTAGCTTTGCACCCCTCATAACTCCAAATAGTCTGTAATTATTTCAGAATGATAAAACCCAAGAGCCTCTTCCTAAATAACCACTTTGACCTTTGACCTTTGAAAAACAAGAGGACACTTCATGAACGCACAGAACTCCTGTTGCTGGTGTTGTCGCATGTGGACAGTGCAACAAACCACAATGGCATTAATTAATTTGAATTTTTCCTCCATAGATACAGTACGTAAACAATTATGTATGTACTAATGAAAAATAATGTGTAACACTATACAAAGCGGGTAATTGAGAAATATTTTAACTAATGCAAAAATAGTAACTTCTCCAGCCTTACAACAATTTTATACAGAAACAAAGTATTAACAGACGTATGTTTCTTTTAAACTTATTGTTAAGTCCCACTGAGTAGTGGAAACATCAATCGCTTTCAAGTAGCTCCAAGGTTGGTAAATCCAACAGGTGGCCACTGCATCTTCCCCCACACGACCACATACATTCTAGACAATAACATCCTGGATCATTAGAATCTGCTCCTTAACCCACATCACATCACATGCTGCAGACACACTGGCCTCAAGCAGTCAAAATAAACGCGTACTGTCCTCCAGAGGAATCCAGCAGAGATGAACTGATCATTCATTGCCCCAGGCTGCTTCACATGCCGGCTGCTTGTAGGTTAGGCCCGGCCAGGTAAGACAGCGAGTCCCTGTACAGAAACATTCCTGGACATGCAGTAGTAACCTCAGGCCCTGTGTTTTTCTCCACATCTTCTGGTTTCAGTGCAGCAGCAGGAGGGAAAATATCCACAAAACTGGGCGCAGTCAAAAAATTCAGCTTTTACAATGACTTTTTTTTTAACGAGCTTTATTGAAAATGTACATAACAAACAAGGCAATATAACTTTTTCCCAATATAGTAGGGGCACCGGTGGATGTCAGGCAAGCTCACCTGACTGCAAAACTGCCTGGAGATTATGACCATTCAAGGACATGCTTAAACTATCACGTAATACTTAATTTTGTTAGAAAAAAGTCTCACGAGCGAGAGTTTGCGAGACATGTATAAACTGAGTTGCTTCTGCATAGAAATAATAGAACATACATACATACACCTCATTTTTTGGAGCTTTAGATCACATCTAAGATGATATTTTAAAGTGAAAATAAGTCAAAATACAAGGAAAGGCATGCTCTTTAGCTCTTTAGCTGTATGCACAGGCAATTCTTTCAGTTTTAGTCTTTGTGTGGGGATTGCTGAAAATACAGTTAATATAAAAAATGGCCGGCCTTATTCTTTAATAAAGGCTTTTAAAAGGTACACCCACGGAAATTGAATGTTTAAGATGAAAAACCTTTTATTATTTCTTGGAAAGTGGGGAAGATTTGTAATATTGTCATTTTTTTTAAACATCCTACTTTGGATTGTGTGCAACCTTAAGCAAGCGCTGAAACTCGATTTGTAATCGTTTTTGTGCATTCTACCCTTTCCTTGCTCAAGGCTGATTTTTACTCTGGTGAAATGAAAGAGGGTTAGATTAGGTTGTCTATGTCAATTGGGTATTACTGGATTTACTCTCTTAAGACCATTCAGTTGAAACTCTCCCTCCATCTGTCTGGAGGCTGAGCCATCACAGACACTCAGCTAACAGAAGACCATTACCACAGCAGAACAATGTGCAGACTGCTGGTAGGCTTGTTTTAGCTAGACAGTACCAGAGACAAAGTTGATTCTCTGCTTCAAGTAAGAGCAATTATATTAGTTATTTCAATTGTTAAGGTCTATTGAAGGTACAGTTGAGTTCTAGCACACACAGACAGACACAGTCTGACTAGGCAGTAATTATCCTGTGATATATTAACACTTCTCTTTCTCACAGTCTCTACCTTGAGGATCCTGTAGCATTTAGCCTTTGTTCTCTGATTACATGGACATGTAGCTATTTGTGGAGCTAGATAAATTTAAAATCAAAGCTCTATAATATCTTGTCAGCTTGGTGTGTGAATCAGCGGAGCTATTCAGTGTATGACCCTGGCTTTGCATCAGAGAGCGCTCAGCATCTTAAAGCCACTATCCCCTTTCTGTGCTTCACGTGGTGCCATGATTCCAAATCCTGAACGCTGGTAGTTTATTGGGTCCCCTTACATGGATGCAGGCAGTGAAGTGATGAATAACACAGAGTGACAGTGTGACCAAGCTGCAGCTGGGTACCACCCACATCAGATGCAGTAATCACTAATGATTGTCACCTGACGTTTCAGGCTCATTTTCACAAATATATGATAAATCACCTGCTGTCGGTTTATTTATATCAACATTAATCAAAGAAATTACAGCCCACGAAGTGAAACAGTGTGAGAAGCTATATCGCTATGTGTAACATGGCAGGGTTCTGTGTCATTAGCAGACTGACAGTAAAACCTCCTGCAAAAGAGCCTGCCAGCAATTTCCATATCGCACCCCTACCCCCAAACCCTGATACTCCACACACCCCTTTACTTATCTACCATTACCTTGACACTACATGGTTTTTGTTTGTTTCATCTCTGGCCTCTCAATTCCCTTGACAACAGGGATGAAATTGCTGAACATGTATAGTCAAAGCCAACACAATGATGGGCTTATTTATTAAAAACACAGGCAGTGGGGAGGAGGAGCTCGGGTCTGGCTGCAGCTGCTGCATTGGCTGTCTTTTCAGTG